CCGAGCTACTTTGAGCTCCTTGCAGGCGCAGCTGAGATCCAAGGTCCTCAAGATCTATGCGACATCACAGGTGACGACGTCGGCATTCCAAACGCGTCTTGCAGTCGTGCAGTGCTCGTGGTTTTCGTGGTTTGAAGAGGCCTTCACAGCCCTCAAAGAAAGCGGCAACGTGATCTCCTGGGGCTTGGAGTCGGATGGAGGCCACCACTTGCATGGATCTTAGATAATTTTCTTTAATGTATGATGTTCGAAGCATGTTCGGACGTGCCTGCTTAGATGATTCAACAGCAGCAGCTACGGCCAGGAGACATTCTGGCACGCCCGGAGGACCGGGGTGAGGCCGGATGCTGGGCATGCTCGGCCAGCTTGAATTGAGGACTTGGCAAATCTTCCTCAAGTTGTGTCGTGAGAGCTGCTGTGGTGGCACCGGGTTCAAACCTGTGCCTCAAGAGGTGGACCGAATCTTCTGCACGGACCATGCGTTTGCTGCCCTCACCCGCTGCTTGACCTACTTGCTGTGGCATGCCAGTCTTGCTGCAACTTGACTTCATGCTTGCCCCACTCAGGACGTGACGGGCGTGTAAACTGTTGGGGGGCGAAGGAGATATGAGCCATGACAATTTTCCTTTTGCGCATGCCTGGAATGTGTGTCGCTTCATGCAGACCCTGTTCAGGAGTCTGGCGGCGACTGCAGCGCAGTGTCCTCACAGCTGCGTGGAAGCAACCGGCCTGTGTGAGCGGGGATGCAATGTTGAACGCGGTCCTAGACAGTGAAAGCTGCAGATTTCTGCTTTGGCCGGGCTATCTGCTGTGCTTCTCCATTGTCCTCGCTGCGTATGCTGTTATCAGTTTCTCGCTGTCTCTGCCAATCCCTCTCCTGTCGAACCCTAGTGCAAGAGCACATACACGTACTTGACATTGCAGAGATGCGGTGCAGTCCGGCTCTGGGCTGTCGAGGAAGATCAAGATCAAGGAAGCTTCCATAAGCCACAAACATCCATAAACCAAGTTTAATTGTGTTGCGGGGTCAATTTGCGGCATTTAGAGACATCAGTCTTTCACTGGCAAGCAAACTGTCGCACCTTTGCTTTCGCGAGGGCATCCGTTCTAATAACAAGACCAAGACTTTGCCACAGATCGTAAAGTGACCCAGGAGATCCCAGGAGTCCATGACTTTCCATACTCGTAGCTCTTTTGTCTGCTGTCTCGTTTGTCTCTTGTGCACCATCTGTTTGTATCCTGCTCGAAAGACTTTCTGCGTTGATGTCAATCTTCCGGCTAACTTCGCCTGGATATCGGTTCGCATCTGAGAGGAGACGAGCCGACGAGCCCTCGCTCTCAGGTTGCACGGCATCTACCACATCTGCGGCACACGCCATGCCTTCGCGGCTCTTCGGCACGACGGCTCGGTAGTGACCTGGGGCAGCCCGGTCCCTTGGCAAGAGACTGGAAGCTGAGTAGATGAGTACTCTGTGAATTGAGTCTATCTGGTCTGGCTTTGCAGGACACGTGCAGAGGAAGTGTTGTTGTTATGCCAAGCAGCACCAAGTATATACATGGAGACACTCCCAGCCTCCAGTTTTGGCAGTTGAGGCGAGTGGAGGTGACTCCGGCTCCTGTACCCCACAGCTTCAGGCACTGGCACTGCCTCATGCACCTGCGGCCTTGCGGCGCTTTGAGTTTTTCCATCAGTTGAGAATTGCAAAGGGAAGCTGAACCACACTTTCTGGTTTCATGTGTCTACGTGAAGGCCCTGTCGTGTGAACATGGGAAGTCTTGCCAGGGTGGTGTCCTTCGCCTCTTTGCCACGCGGCTGGCCTTTGCGGCGGTGAAGCGTCGCTCGGCAGGGCAGAAGAGGGATTCCTGCAGCCTACGTTGCTGCCCTCCGAACCACGCCACCGACGGCCAAAAACTTGACAGGTGATGGGACCATCCTGACGTGGGGTGGCAGAGACGGTGGAGGTGGGGCAAGAGTCGTCAGACCAGCATATGATGAGGCTTCCGCGGATGTGGGGTCGACTTAGAATTGGCCAGGCCCAATCCGTCCACCTCAGCGACAAGCGCTCACACGAACTGAAAGTGGGCTGAAGGTCAAATGATTCAGATTCGCGTGCCTTAGTTACTTGCTGGGCTGGTCGTACCACATTCTGCAAATTTTGGAAGGAAGCCTGGGAGAGCACCGCAGGCTCACATGAGCATACACAGCAACAGTGGGGATGCTGGCCTAAGCTGATAATGTACATCGCTTTCCACGACACCCCTCGAAGGCGGGAGTGTTTTGATGTCGCGATCTAGCTGCTTAGCTCTCTAGTGCTCATCGGGCGCGTGCCCAACTACTTGTCTTCTGCTGAGCAGATCCGGCAGCGTCAGGAAAAGCAAACAGGCTTGCGGCTGCTGCATACTCTACAGTAGACGAGTCGGCAACAGTGTGACTCCAAATGCCTGCTGGTCACTGCCCAGGTGGCCAAGATAGCTTTCAACACTCGTTCGAGAGCCTGTGACCTAGACAAGCACCATATCATGTCCTGTCTGGCTTTATGGTCTAGACAAACCTGTGTAGTCTTGGGAGTGCTCTTGTTGCGTGAAGATGTCCTGTTGCTGAGAGGCTTCGAAGTTCGGCTTGGACCGGATAGCCAAGCAAAAGCGACTCGAACGGGAATTGAAAGCAGGCACCGGCTACCTCGGAGTGGCAGCTAGTTAAACTGGGGTGCATCGGACTGTCTTTGCAGTCTTTAGACCCCGCTGTTAGTAGTTGTCCCTGACGTTAACATAGTTTTGCAAGCACCCACTCCATTGGAGAGAAGTGACTGCTGCGTTGGTCAGGGCCCATGACGGCGGTGTCCCTCGACGCAGACCCATTAGCTGATGCTCCAAAGCCAACGATGGCCCAGTTGGAAGCAAAGGCACCGTGGTGCTTCGGGACTGTTGACGGTACTCGTTCTCTCATCCGACGGTGAACGCCGGAGTGGGATGCACTGGGTACGGGTTTTGATCTCCTACTTCGCTCCGGGTTGTGTGCGCCTGGCTGGAGCGGGAGAATTGCAGTGGAATGGAGAATTGGGGCCGTACTGAAAGCGTATTAGACCTTATGCTCAAACTGCGTCGTGATATACTGATACCTGGGATACGACGTGCCTTGCAAAGTGCAGCAAACCAAGATCGTGCTGGCATATACTGCCATGCAGGCACAGCGCAAACGCATCGCGGCCGGGAGTGGCTCGGATGCCTCCGATGACGAGGTCTGGCTCATGTGGGTTTGCTCGAAGTGACTGTTTTCGCACCTTGCGAAGTGTTTAACGACAGATAGTCGAGCAGTTCAAGTCTAACGCCCCGCAAGTTCTGATAGGGATCCCGAAATCACATATAGAAAGCAGAGGTCCGAGGTCCGACCGAGTGACAGTGACTCCCAGTTGCCAGGAAAAGCCCCAAGCTGGGAAGCCGAACCGAGGCGCCGGCCGGTGTGGCACCATGTGCTCAGCTTTTGATGGTTCCATCGAAAGATGCCCCCCCCCCCTCCCCGCGCGAACGTGTGTCAATGACAGCCTGAGACACGCGACATTGATGTGCATCTGTCGGATTCGAGCGCGTCTGAAGCCTATAGGTCTAGGTTTGCTTCTTCCGCCAACGAGCACAACTCGCATGAACAACGATGTTTTGCTGGTACACGGATCGTGTTTCTGCGACGGCTCAAATGGTGCTTCAACCAGAGCAGAGCATGATGCCATCTTGCTGCATCTTAACAGAAACGAGAGTTCCTGCAGTGTGCAGCCTTACCCAGTCAGAGGGGGAGGGCGAGAGGGAAGGAGATAAAGAGGAAATCATGAGCCTGACGGGCTAGCTAGGAGGGGGGGTGCAGGTGGCCGCAATTCGTGCGCTTGTTGTGCGATGGCAAAGTAAAGTTTAGGAAAATTATGTAAGTAGCCAAGAGAAAAGCGGTCAATGATTGAGTTTGCTTGCAGTGCCACTGGCAGAAGTCGTCACCCGCGGGGGGTAGTTCTTGAGGCGTATAAGAAGACGAAGTGGTCGATGTTAGTGTTTGTAGCTTTGCGAAGTGCGAACGCGAGTTCCAGAAATGTGTCCCCCATGGGCGCACACAGAATTTTTGGGAAGCCCCTTCAGCCTGTACTTGTGAGGCAAAACGCCTTGAGAATGGAGGTGCAACGTTTGTGACGACTGACCCTTAAGCCCGGAAAGAGAAGAAGAGACAAACAGAATAAGAAGGGTACAGATGGCCCATGATAGCCGACGTCACGCCCTACGAAAGACGCAGTGGGACGGCTTTTCGCTGCTTCAGGCCCCCGAAGCCGGAGCCGTAGCCCCGCTGTAGCGCGGAACGGTGTTGGCAAAGCCAAGCAAGGCGCATGCAGCGTAGCTAATTTGGGGTCAACGGAATCTTTGGAATTTTGGGATGCTTGGCTTCGGCTGCTCAGATAGCGAAGGAATGGTGGGTACAGCCTCGGTCCGCGGTTCAAGTTAGAACGGGCAGATTCACGGAAGTCCGCCGCAGGTGATGGCCGGACAAGTTCTTCAGACCTTTGGGAGGCCTTGATCTGCGAGTTTTTGCTTCCACACAATGCGGTCGTTTTAATTCCTGACCAGCGAGATGATGCCCAACGAACTTCTCAATGTTCACATTCCGTGCAACTCTGAGCTTACAGCCGTTCCGAGGCAGCCAAAGACATCCGGGCAAAATTGAGCAAGATGGGCTGGCGGCTCGGGTTGCTCACAACAGTTGAACAGTCGCACGGCTTTGGCAGCTAGTGGTGTTGACCTGACCCGGGTTCCTCGAATTCCACGTTTTCATTTTGGCAACAAACGTGTGCAATTTTTGGCTCGGAGAAAGGGGAGCACAGCCGAAACTCTGCTTTTGCAGTGCATGGATCGTCAAAGAGGCTGTGGTGACCCACTCCAGGCCAGTCGCCCTGTTTCTTCTTCTTGGTCTTAGCCTTCACCTAACCGTGGACGGGTGCGGCAACTTTTGACAAGGTTTGCAAGGAGCCATGGAGACAGCGGCCGGGATCTGGGAACAAGTAGCCCGGCAGGCACAGGGACACAGGGACAGGATTGGCATGGATAGAAGCGAGTGCTACTGACTGTGTAATCCACAATGCAATCGGTCCTTCCTAGCATGTGGGCAAGTCTTGGCATTCGGTCGCCACGATCTTCTGGAAGTGTTGGAACTGTGAGTCAAGAGATATCTTTTGAGTTGATGGCCCCCCACTGTCACTGCACCCTGCCCTGCAGATGCCTCTCGATGTCTTGGTCCTCATTCTGGCAGCCGCCACTTTTGCAGCTGGAATTATCACATACTGCTGCGAAGTGCCTCAACTTGAGATGAAGAGAGATTTTCCCCAAGACGACGACCTGTGCTCAAAAGCTGTCTGCCAAGGCGCACTCGGCTCTTGAAGGGGTTCCAAGCAGCCCAAAAGACATCGAAGACGCCTCACCGGTGTCTGTGAAGTCTTTATCGCCAGAGAAAGCGGCAGACATCGAGCAGGATCGCAGACACAAGGACGGCAACATGTGTGCCTCACTTGTCTTCATAATTCCCTCGGCCGTTATTCACAGGCCAGAGAAGATCTGCCAGAGCCAGAACCCGAGGGGTGCGACGAAGATTCGCGCCGCAAGGGCCTTGAGGCGCACTAAGTCCACTCAGAGCACAGCGAGTGGTGGCTAGATTTGGCTCGGCTGTGACAGGTCTGCCTCGAGCGGCTTCCAGGAGCGAGAGTTGGAGTGGACAATTCTGCATTGGCTGGCATGCGGCTTCTCTTGTTTCGCAAGGAGAAGCCTGGGGATTCGCATGGCATAGCAAAGCATTCTGCGAGCAGAGGCGGGAGAAGTGATGAGAAACAGGTGGGGGTCCAAGACACTACGCCACTACGCATTCTGCTGAGAGGCTTATCGTCGTGGGCATCGACCCGGACTCGCCGGCCGGAAGGTGGCAACTGCAGCGTGAGCACCAAGGCCTTCCGACGGTTCAGCGGGGCGACGAGCCGCCCTGTCAGCAATGCGACCTCGAGACCGTCTTTTCAAAAACTTCAGACTTTTCCCTTGTTTGTATGTTGCGGGGTGCTGTGTGGATGAGCTGAGGCTCGTTTGTGCCAACGACGTGACGCAGCACAGCAGTATGCAGATTTCACTGGTAGTCGCGGCCCCAGTGGCACGACTGATGTTCTTGGCCTGTTGGTGCAATTTCTCGTCAAGTCGGCTACTTATGTCGGAGGAGATTAAACAAGAGCCTGTTCCAAATACGAAGTGTTCGACTGTATCCTCAGACCATCATACGCCAGGTTGCCAACAAGCTTCGTCTGAAGTTCTTGCGTGCGGAGGGTGTAGCCGATCTCGCCCGAGGTGGGCATCGGAAGAAGTGTGCGTGAGTGACATGACATAAGGCATCTTCAGGCCATGAAGGATGAATGGTGTGTAGCCTTTGTTACCACGGGATGGGACATTGGACTTGACTCGGGTGTGGTTGCTGGATTCGCTACTTGAGTGCATTTGAGTGCTACTTTGATGGTTCTACTTCTACTTGCTAGCTGACCCCAAACTCGGGAAGTCAATCAGGTGGATTCTCCAGTCCTCCTTAACAGTTTTGCAAGCCATCGAACGACGTGGTAGCAATTTTGATCGAACATGTGCAGAGCATTTTTGGCTCCGTATCTCTGATGCTCTGACATGCGTACGAGGCGTTGTGCCTAAATTGGAAGCGAAGGATGCGCTTTGGCAGCAAGAACCGATAGCTTCCGGATCAGCTTGATTGCCAAGTGCTGCGCCCGCAAACATGTGGCTTCTTGTTGTCACCGTGATTCTGCAGCATGTAGTGGTGCAGCACTGCAGCACTCCCCCTCCGCATCATCGTTTGGCTTTTCTGGATCTGCAATGGCCGCCAGAACTGGACCAGCATTTAGAGATGTAGCACCAGCTGCAAGCCAAGGCATGCAAGGAGGAAGTCCTCAAAGAGACGCCAGCTTTACCGCCTTTGCAGCCACTTGCCTGGCAGAATACGGTGTTTCACCACCCAGAGTTCCCAGACGACTTCTGCAGTTGTACAGTTTGAAAGTGTAATACTCAGATCTACCTGAGATTGCTGCTTGGGTGGGAAGTCAGCTTTACCGGACACCATTGGGATTGTAGACAAGCTTTTGTTCTGCGACAGCTGAATCTGCAATTAGAGGGCCACATGTCACCACGTTCGCAGTCAGTTACATGCGACGCTCCAGGCCTGATACTTTCGCTGAGAGCGACACAGACGAGCCTCGCAAGCAAGTCTCGAAGGTTTTGCTTCTGCTTCGCAACATGGGAACCATTCGAGCAGAGCTGACACAGTTGTGTGAGTTCTTTCCAGCCGCAGCCTCTGACAGCGCTGAGGACTTGGCGGAGACTGGGAGTCAACATGTGAAGCGCCGGCATGTCTTGAAGGCCTTGAGAGCTGGGGGGATCGGGAATGGCATCGGGACATGGCAGGTTGAACTATGATGGAGTGCCGCGCAACTTTTGGAGCTACCAGACCTTTGGCTGCAAGAAAGCTTTCGTATAGCTTGCTTTCGTCGTACTGAAGTTGTAGGACATGAAGGGGTGCGAGAACTCAAGTGTCCTGCAGCAACGTTCGTCTGGCCTGGCTTCGAAAGGTTAACAGCGACATGGAAAAGGACGTTTGGCAGATATCTTTCGGAACCAGCCAAGGCGCTTGCCTCGATCTCTTCCAGCAGAAACGGCAGATGCAGCACCCGTGGACTCGCAATCGGAGCAACGAGCAGCCTAGTTTCAGAAGGATTTGGTGTGGTTGGGAAGGTCTCTGCGCATGATTTCGAGAGTCTGATCTGATCTTGTGATGCCAGCAAGGCACCGGAAGCAGCCCAAAAACCACTCTGCGAAAAGACTACCGTCAGGAGCAACTTGGCTCGACAAAGCTTCTGTTGCGCTTGTGCTTGTGCATGCCTGCCTCGCCCGGCGTTGTCCAAGCAGGGCTGGACAAATTGTGCTGCTACGAAACATATGCAGGTGTACCGCTGCGTTCACGCTCGGATCCCCCAGCCGCCCCACGGCGACGAGGAGGCCAGACGACCGGAGGATTTTCGGGTATGGGAGATGTGGCCTGTAGTCTGAAGGGATCTGAGACATCGAGAGCGGGAGCCCAGCAGCGGGAATCAGAGAAGGCAGCTCTTCTCCTGCGAGCCGAGCGAGCCGGGACCCAGGCACAATGAGCTTTGTACGGGGCTTGTTTTTTAGGGCTTTGTGCTCGTTGCCTACTGTAAGTTTCCGATTTCTCGCAGGGTACAGTCCCTCGTCGATAGCTGTGGTGACATCGGGAAGGTACTACGCTCGTAGCAAACTCTAGGGGCACTTGCGTGAGCTAGCATGCTCCTCGACGTTAACTGCGAAAGCATCAAAGTCTAAGACGTCCATGCAAGGTGCTGTGCCACACTTGTTCACTAGAAGCCGAACAGCCGGGTCAAGGACAGGCAGTGTGGCAACTGCTCTGGAACATCAGCTTGATAACTTGATACAGGAACATTCGGGGCAGGTCTGTCAAGAAGCAGGCAGTAGCCATCCGAGAACCCATCGCAGCTGTCGTTTTAAACATCTGCAAACGAAGGCATAAAGGCACGTTTGGGGCAGACGTCCCTTGCCCAAAGGCCGTGTCCTACATACATACATACATACATACAGACGTTGTACGTGCATTGTTTCCGGTGCTGGATAGAAGGAGCCCCGCCTCGAAGCACAGTCCGCTGAGCGCGGTGGGACGAGGCTTGGACGTGAAGCGGCTGAGCCGTTGGAACGTTCTTTTGGGGACGCGTCACTGAGTATCACTGACATGAGTCGTGTCAGAAGCTCAACTTGACGGAGGCCCTCTTCGGCAACGAGGCGATGCGAGAGCCACCTGTCTGATCTGCGTGAAAGGATGGCATGGAGGTGCAAAGGCAACTGCAGGGAGTGGGGGTAAAACCAGAAGTGGGGAAAGGGATGGAAAGGGGAGGAGCTGACGGGACATGCCAGCTGGATGACGTGCTGGAGGATGGCAGCGCAGGATGACAGACGTGCGCCTACATTCGCATGCACGCGCGCGTCTGCACACACAGAGGCCTTCCTGCCTTGGAGATCTCGCAAGGGCTATGAAACTAAAGGGTGTTAGGACTCGGCAGCTTCATATCACGGACTCTTACGCGGGTTGCTAAGTGACTTGAGGCCTGTTCCCGCAGCTCGCCATTTCGTTGAGCGGCTGTCGGAACAGTGAAGTCGTTGCAAGCCTTGTTAGAAAAGCCATGTGAGCCTGAGATATATTCAAGACTCAAGACTTGGTTGGCGGAGTGCAAGGACGGCCAGATTGTCTCGTGCGGCTCCGAGTCAGAGAATGCTTCGCGAAGCGACCAGTGCCCGTCCACGGACTGGGAGTACATGATGGACAACCGAGCTCAGTGCACTGGACGCAATTAGTTTCGCTGTTCTCTTGGGGCGGGTTTGAGCCAACTTCCTGTCTTTTGTGTGAGGCAGTGCCAGTCCATGCCCGATCCTTCTCAGGGACCTGGCGTTGCGAGATTCTTAGCTGTCTTGCATGCGCAGAGAGGTCAGGTAAACCAACTAGCCTCTTATCCGACCTTCGGTGGGCATCATTGGCCAGAAAGCAGAGGTGATGATGCTGGCCCTCCAGCCCATGCTTGGTGGAGTCTTGGGCCAGCGACTCGCCCTGAAGAGCCTGACTGCCGACGACTCGACCGCAGCTTTCCTTGTGACGGCGTGGACAAGCCTGCAATTGTCACATCGAATCAGAGTGTTAACACTGCCATGATATTGAGAATGTTTTGGCTTCCATCGGGTAATGAATCGTTCTGAGGCCTGGGCATCATGGCCCCTTTGTGCCCGCTCCAATGGGGTCACCACAAGTCTCCGATGCTTCGTCAACACCACCGCCGCCATTGACTTCACCCAAGGTCCTATGCAGAGGAGATTACTGACATGGTCGCATGTGGACGTGACCCCCGGCAAAATTCGCAGATGGCATGTCCTGCATCTTGAAGGTTCCCAGCATGCCGGCTTCTTCGAGCACGCCAGGCGACCAGTATGTTGGAGCCACGATGCAAGCCAGCACGAGTGTGATAGAGCCGCAGCACTATACAGCTGGGGAGTGGAGCATGTTGACGTGGTTTTCGGGAATCAAGGCAGGCAAGTCAGCACGCTTTTGGCAGGTGCGGGGCTTATGGTGCCGATGACAATGAACCACGGATTTGCTGCTGGTGTCTGGCCTAAACTGAGATAGCTCACCGGTTGAGACTGCACGCAGCCAGGACTGTCGAATGTGTAACAGTTTGTTGCTACCGGAGGTGCCTCTACACAGCCTGGCTCTCAGAGCTCGCTGAATAGCATCGGCTGTGAGACACTGGGATCCTGGCTCCTCTCCCGGTCGCATGGCATCGCATGGCTCGCCTTGCTCGAGTCTGCCGGACAAACAATTGGTGGGTTCGCTTCCTTGTCTCCTGCTTCCCTGCTGAGGAATGCCCAGGTGATGGGTTGGGCGCCGGCTTGGCGCAGTGATGGGCCTGAACAGGGCCATCAGGCAACCTGTCGGAGAAGAGCGCACCGATGTCGTTCTTGTTTCACGCGTACGTCACGTCGCCTCATGGCACCAGCATGGAAGGCATCAGCTTCTTCAAGCTGGCTGCAGTCCGCGCATGGGCCTCAGAAGTTAAACGGCGGAGGACTTTTGAACTGAACCCGGGTTGCGCGCTTGCGATGTGTGAACGGAAGCAGCTCGTTGGTTGTAGTCCGCAGGCTGCTGTTCCAAATTTCTTGTCAAGATATGGCCAGTCCCGCGACATCGCAGGGGGGAGAGCGAGAGCGCTATGTTGTCCGCACTTGCTGTCAATCTACTCTCGGATTCAGGACTGCAGAGGACTACACGGCGCCGAACCCCGCTGCGCGGTCAGGCTCACTTCGTAATATTCATGCCCCCAAGACTGTTCAAGGCAGGTCGTAGCTTGTCACCGCGCACAGACCCAGACTCCTCCTCTCCTCCTCCTCCTCCTCCTCCTGCGTTTTGGTTTTGCTGCTTTTTTTGCCGACTGCTGCATAGGCAAGAAGACCTACCGCGCGGGCCAGCGCCTGACTGCGCGGCGACTCCGCGCTGCACAGCGCGCCGCAGAGCTGAACCAGGCCCCTCCACGCGAAGAGACGGAAGCGCCTCGTGGGGTATACCCATAGACCCCATAGTAGTTCCTTTTTGGGGTTCATATATAGAATCCTATAATAAGGTAATTTTCAAAAGGAGCTACTATGGGGCTTATATGGGTAGGGCTCACGGCCACGGCCCCTGCTGTCGGGGCTGTGACTGTGACTGCGAGAGGCGCTGCCCTCCGAGCCTCTGCCATCACCATCACCGCCCTCGGAGCCCTCCTCGGAGGAGCCGCCAGGTGGCCGCGAACTTCGAGCTTCCTCCGAGCATTCTGCGTCGCAGTCTGTCGCATTGTGTGGCTGTGTGCATGTTCCAGACTTTCTCTGCAGGCGCAGAGGCACGAACGAAGCCCCGGCGGCGCGCTGGCGTGCGGGTGAGGCGGCGGCGTGAGCATGCGATCGCCCGACGGCGAGAGCAAGAGGAGCAGGCCAGGCGGGTCAAACGGTCCTGGGTTCCTGGTCTTCCTTGCCCTTCCAATGCCTTTCAGCTGCCATCAAAGGGCGATGTGCCGCGACCCCAGCCTGTTGGCGCGGTGCCGCCTGGACCTTTGCCGCCTCGCCACGAGGAGGCGCAAAGAACTTGGGAGCCGAGATTTCTGCAACCCACCTCCAGGAAGCAGTCCGCAGAGCAGACCCGAGCCAAGAAACAAATCTGGGGTCAAACGTATCCCATGCATTCCATCAGAAACCCTGCTTTCGCTCCGCATGAATTACTTCGGACTGAGCTGAGAATCTTCGAGTGTGCGCCGCGTTTGTCAGCCAGTGTGACATCATGTCATGTGTGGCACGTTGTACGTTGATGATGTCGAGGTAGATCAGGTAGATGGCTTCGACAGCCCTGCCGAATTGGATGTACCAATTCTCGATGCAGGCAGGACGGCACGGACATAAGCATGACAGTAAGTCGGCCACCACGCCATACCGCGCCGCTTGCAAACCAGGCTCGCCTGTCTCCGGGCACCAGTTGGCAGCCTCGAAGCGGTGCTAAGCCCGGTGCGGGGGTTGGATTGGAAGGAGAATCGCAGCAGATGAATCTGAGCTCAGACATTTCGAACGCCCAGGTTGCGCAGTCAACCTCGCGATTCTTCAAACGTCCGGGCCGCAGCTGTACGGAGATGTAGGAGGATTACATGACTTACATCTTCAAGCGCGGCGGAAAGCTAACCAGGACGGGGCTTTGGGAACACAGCGTCGTGTGGATATTTGCCCTCGCGCAATCAAGCACACGTCAGTCCAAGGATCTGGAGCGTGATGTCATCGGCTTGGCCCTGAGCCGTTCATGCGGTCGCATTCAATGTGCATGAAGGCATGGCGGCACGCTTGAGCCCGCCGTTCTGTATGTACCGTCGATGTTCAGTGTCACACCAGGGACCAGCGCAAAGTGGTTGCGAAGCCGCTTGCATGTCAGTCATGTCAGGGCACGCATCAGCCGCCCACATGCGTGACCACGCATGCGAAAACACAGGGAAGCAGGGTGGCTCGCAACGTCACGGATTGAACACGTGCAAGTTCTAGAAGCGGTCAGTGCCGAACAGCGTTGAATAGCGGATCAGGAAAGGCCGTGCCAACAGGAGCATGTGCCCAGTTCCGGTCTACAAGTCTTCTGCAGGTGCTTTGAACTGCTGCCTGTGCGTGCTCTGTGGGCGTAGTAAGGTCGGGAAGTTCTCATCAATGGCTTGGTGCATATGCCGCAACTCAGCTACCGTATTGCTGCAAAAGACTGTTATCGATGTCCCCATGCCGAGCCTGGGAAACAGTCAAGCCGTAGGTCCGTAGGTGATCATGCGTTCAAGTGCAGGTTCCTGGCAGGGTGCCACCTGTGGTTCCATGTTCTACTCGTAGGTCTCTTGTGCAACCGACTGTGAGTTGACTTCTGAGCAGCTGCTGCATCAGACACGACAGCTTTCTAGGTGTTTGCCAAGCCAGGCTTGAAAGCAAGGTGCCGCAAGGATTGCTGTCCCAGGCAGCTCAACGGACACTGGGGACGTGTCGCAGAGTTCGATCCAGAGCCTGCGCTGCAGAAATCAGGAAACTTCGGCTCCAAGCATTGAGGGCTGGCATTTCCTCCAGCACCCTTAACGCTGTGTTCTCTATCCCAAGTCTTTGACCCGAGTGTTGCTTTGTCATGCGGTGGGGCCCGAGGTGCACAGATGTTATCTGGTTCATGCCTTCGTAAGCGGCTCGTCGCCGCTGGCGCTCAGGCTCAGGCGTGACACCGGGGGGTGCAGTGCCAAAAGACTGGAGCAGGAAAAGGGAGTGAATGTGAACTGTGACATGCACCGGCAATGCCGCGCTTCCCGATCAGTGTTGATTCGTGCCGGTGTGGCAATTGGCATGTGGATGTGCAAGACAAGCTCTTCCAAAAGCAATGAAGTCATTCCAGATTCTCTCGAAGCGGTCAGGGACAGGAGTCCTTGTCAGTTGTGCAGAGTGAGAATGTTGTTCATCAAGTCAAGCATCGGAGGCGGGATGCTTTCGTGGTGCCCAAGAGTCTTGGCTTGCATTGAAAGCTTCGTGTCTAGCTAGGTACGTATGTTTGGCACATGCGCACTGCATTCAGGTAAGTATGTATGCATGTGACTGTATATGTGTATGCTCGCGTATATGTGTTGTAAAACGGTTACAGGAATGAACACACCTCTACATGTCTGCACAGAAAGAGGTACGCAAGCAGACCTGTGATATGCCTCAACCGGCTCAACCGTGCTATTCCACCTTAGGCCCCCAGCAATGATCGGATGTCCAAGAGCATTCCAACGCCCCAACTTCAAACATCAGGGACAGGTCGCGAGGGGCACGTAAAACTCCTGCCGTTGAAGCGCCAGAAACGAGAGATGCTTAGAAGGCAGCTGAGGGACTGTTGCGCCAGGTCTAAGTTGCGCCATGTTCCGCCCTTGTGGGAAACACGAAAACAAGGCAAACTTGCTGCAGGCGTAGACATCAGCGGAAATAATTGGACGCACCAGCAAAAGCCACACCCACAGTACGCAAGCTGTACGAAGCACATTCACTTCACTTGCACATGCAATGAGCCGGAAACACTGCAAGCACCAATGGAATCGTGCTTGCGGTTTCATATTCGTCAGGACATGTATCACGGGTGGTAAAGTAAGCTTTGCGAGCCTTCATTGCTTGCGACCTTGCTTCGCCTCGTTGGAGCTCAAGGCAGAACTTCTTTTTTGTGAGTCACCAAGTGCATCCATGCCATGACTTCTGTCGGCGTAGCATTCTGGAAGACTCTGCATCACGACGTTGCGGGTTCCATCTTGAAGTTGGTTTTGGAACACGCGCCAGACGGTGGTGATTCGGTATTGAAATATGCGACTCTGCCTATCTACTGGAACAAAAACGGAAAGCTTCAAACTGGTATATGCTTCATTCTCGCCTAACTTGTCATGTTCACATTCACATGGTGTCTCATGAAGACCTTGAGTGTCCAGGTTGCCGGTATGCACACAAAGCCCGTGCTGAGAAAATGTGTTCACACTCAGCAACATCTATGTTCGCATAACCTTGCGCACTATTTCCTTGTCTGGCTGCGTCCGAGTTGCGAGAGCGAAGCACTATTTCCTTGTTAGAAAAAATCTCGCTCTCTCTCTCTCTCGACTTTTCTCTTTTAGTCGAGTGTTTTCTGATATTAGCACTTGTCATTGCTCAGCTGTATTCGGGCACAAGTAGATGCTAACACGATTTGTGTGTGAGACACATTAGTCAATACTCAGGCATATATAGCAGAAATTTAGGCAGCGTTTAATGAACACGTAATTTGACAGTCGCGCATCAGTCTCACAGAACCTCTGTGCAGGTACTTTGAAGCTTACAAAAACTCCATTATGAAATATTGGAAGATTTGTATTTAGCCTGTAATATCTACATAGCCTTCAGGCTGTGCCTTGCTATTGTTTATTCGCGCGGTAGTGAGGGCTCATCTGAGTACTCACCTGGTACCTACGTGATGTTCAGTGCCGAGTTCTGTACGTCTATGTAAGTATCGTGCTAACAAAAGGAAACTGCAAGCATTGTGAATTTACGATGTTCATGATGATATCAAAATCTACATACTGCCAATCGTGTGGCGTGAGCACTACATCGGTATGAGGCAGGAAAAACATGAAGCATTCAACATAGCTGGATATTTGGTCTGACAGTTTGCATGTATGGCGTTTCACTGTGGACCTGTAGCGAATGGATAGCAACGGAAGGGTGGGGCGAACAGTACAGGAGAACATTTATTAGTGGCTGCGGCAATGCCTATGCACATGCAGTTCTGCAGACGCACAGCGGCGGTAACCGGTTGTAGAAACCCACCAAACAAATAGTTACATCGGGGGGGGGAGCATACATAAAAAGAATAAATGTAAATATATGTATGTATATCAGTGTAAGTATATCAACCCCTCTTTGCGTCTGGTCTTTCTGCAGAAAGCCTTCTGCCATTAAGGACCAATCCGCCCAGCCCCGATGAAATCGTCGAGGGTGTGTGGCAGCCTTCGCTTCGTCTCTTGGCAGCCGCCAGCAGCATGGTAGCCACGCACGGCAACATCGCAATATGGCACAGAAACACGGAGTACCCAAAAGCGCTTGATGGCAGCGAAATCGGATTGCGGACGTACTCGAGCCTGTTGAACCTGTGTCGTGTGATTGTAGCTTTCGCCGCAGGAAGTTGGAAGTGCAATGAAGTGCCTGCATCTTCACATGCATGCATGCATGAAGACATATATATCTGCAACAGTACATGTGCTGAGACTAGTAAGAGCAATAATAACAAACAGTAACTCTTCCACGAAGTTGGAGGTACAGTCGAGTCTCCGTTGGTACTAAGAAAAACTCAGCAGCTAGGCTACAGGTACAGCTAACCATCTGTAGCAGATTCAGGCAAAACTTGCTTCGTTTAGTCAAGTTCCTTCCTGTTTGGACTCCCGTCACTTGGAGTCTGGTGCATATGGCAGGCATTCACTGCTCGGCTTGATGCCTGAAAGTTTCACTGGAAAGCCCGAGCCTCAGAGAGCACGGTGCCACAAAGGAAATGTCACTTTGCCACTCCTGTTCAGCATGATAATGGAGACAACCAGAGGGGTTGCCGGGAGGTTCGCAGAGTGCAGTGCCGAAAGTCATGAAACAGGCAGCCAAGTGTGCTGCAGCTTGTGGAGCTGCAGACTGACTTGGGCCGCATCTCAAGTCAGCCGGTATGCTGGTGGAATTCGTGCTTGCTCACCTTGTCGTCTGTTGCCATGAAGAAGTTCTTCGTGATTCCATGAATTGCCACCTTTGCTGCCAATGTCTCACTTCAAATCCGGTTGACGCGGCTGCAGTGCGCCACGACTTGGTTCCCGATGTTGTCGATGTCTGTAAGGTTGCTAAGCTTCTGAACGGAGAATGTGCTTGTTACATGACAGTCGCAACACCTAGCAGTGCAAAACGAAAGCACAAAGTGTGCTTTCACGCTGAAACTCGCAGAACGGATATGTTCGCGCTGTACACAGGAGTTAATCAGAATTTGGATGGAAGCTTGCTTCGAAATCGTGCTGTCCTGGGAGGCGGTTTTCCATGCATTGGAAAAAGCCGTGCTTGCCTGCATTCAGTTTGTTGATGTTTCTTGCCAGGGTGGCACCTCCGGCTTTCGGTATCCCGTACCTTATTCTTTCGGAAGTCCCGATACCGAAGAGACACCCATCCCATCCCAGCCCGCCTGCTTCTATCTTCCGAGATGACGACACTGGGAAGAAGGAAGCCGGGCGTGGCCCTCTTGCCGGACAGCGTGCACCCAAGTCATATCCCACATACCCAGCAGCTGTGTGTTTTTAGGCGGCATGCGTCGCTTCTGCATGGCTTGCAAGAGGCCCCTGCTCTTCAAGGGCAACAAGGCCAAGATCAAGGAGGAGGACGAGGTGAAGCTCGAGCCGGGTGAGGCGCATGGAGAATTATGGGCGTATGTGCGGTATGTGCGGTCAAGGGTTGAGGTTGCCAGGCACCTCAGGACATGTCGGATTCATGTCGCAGTCGGCATGAGCGGACCGTTAGACTCCTCTGGACAGCTGCGGCCTGCGCAAGGACAAGTCTCGGGTAAAGACGCGTGACAACAAGGACTTGCAGTGCGCAGCCGCATGAAACATGAAGTGTCTTTGAACCCGGGCATGTTTTGCAAGATTGCTGTGAGTCTATGCGATCGGACCCATGTTCCCTGCAATGTTGGTGGCATATCTGATAGAACCTAATCGGTCGTTGCCGAATTCGTCCCTCTTCATATCCGTCCGCCTGCTATCCAGTGCTGCCGAATCCATTCGTTCTTTGTCGCGTTCATGCTGCCATGGCTCCGCGCTGACAAGCCGCAAGTGGAGAAGCAGAACAATTCCAAGAATGTTTGCATGAAGCTACCGAGGTACCACAACATCACCCAGGAAGTCATGACGAAGAACGAGTCAAGAGCTTACACGATAGTTCGCCTCAAGCTGATGGCTCATGATATGTCTTGTCAGTCAGTAGTAGTCGTACCGCATTATTCGCACACATTGGCGAATAATACTGTTACCGCAGCAGGCAGATTCAGGGCGATCAGCGTAGAATCAAACGCTACCAGGATTGAAGAAAAGATCAAAGCAGAAGCTGAGATCGATGAGTACGAGGAAGGCGAACCTTTGACGCAGAATCGAAATGGTGAGGTCTTGTATCCCGTCGGACGGCGCAGCATGTCGACCCGTGCACCTGCTTGCGACTGAAGACCTTGAAGGCAAACTGGACCGTGACTGGTACATGGCCGGATGCCCAGAAGTTTCAACCTGCTTGGTTGACCGATTGTATGCAAAATCACCTTTGGATGTAACAATGTAGTCATTGAAGGCGAAGAAGGGGTTTGAGCAAGTGGGGCTGGGTTCAGGGACATATAGTAGGGGTCATACTAGGATACCCGTGCGGACGAGACGAACACAATCATAAGCACCAAGAACCTCGGCTGGCATGTCCGAGAATGAGCGCCGAAACCCAACTTTGTTAAACACGCATTTCGGTTTGCAGCTGGGGCATCGGGTGATCAGTACAAGGAACCCTGAGAGTCTCGCCTCGCAAACCAAACGCTGAATCGGTGCGAGACGTGCTGCATGTGCCATGTCAGCCATCCTAAGATGGCCACCCTTGCACCCCTGAGCTGCATGGTCTAGCAATGCCTAGCAGTCTAGCAGCACAAGAGGCTGCACTAAGCACCAGGCCGAAGAAGGTGGGGCTGCTCAGGGCATGGACGCGATGGACCCAGTGCAGGAGGTCAGGATGGGCGGTTTTGCGGCGCAAGCATGGACGGGTGCAAACTCCAGCTAACATTCTGCCTGACAGCAGAAGTACTTGTCGTCGGGCATTCTGATGTCACGCAGGCCGAGAAGGAAGAGAAAAAGAAGCGCCAATTGGCTTCGGCGTTTGACTCTGTAGCGAGGCCCGGCGATGCAACCTTTCGAGCCACCACCCTCCTCCGAGGTCGCTCGGGTGAATATCCGGCAGCAGCAAAAAAACGAAGCCAACGAGCTTTGGGAGCTTAACAGGCGGGCGGCCGAGAAGAGACTCTTGGTTGCGTGTCTTGTCTCTCTTGCCTTGCCGAGGCTCGGGGCCATGGGCTTGGCAGAGCGGAAGGAGGTAAACTTGGACTTCTCCAAAGAGGACGAAGAGAAGCGCCCCTGGTCTTAGTCGTTCCGGATCATTCTATAGCTCATACCGGGGTGAGCTGCCATTCCCAGAAAATGCATGCGAGGTGTTGCCGTGGTTGTGCCAGCCTCAGCCATCAGGAAACTTCAGCTCGGGCTATTTTTGACCTTCAACACCTAGAGGACAGTTCATGTTTGGGCTGCGACGATGAGACGACGCGGAAAATCAGGTCCGGGATACGACGCCACCGTTCCTGGACGGCCGCAAGGTCTTCACCACACAGACAGAGGCAGTGTCTAGGCCTCAGTAGGCCATCGCGCCATCATCGCGGATTGACACCAAAGGCATACACGGCTCTGACAACACAATGTGTGCAGGAGTGCCGTCAAAGATATCACGTCCGACATGGCTGTCTTCTGCAAGCAGGGCTCGAAGGTGGTGCCCGACCCCAGTGCTAGATCTGCCTTCGGCTTGTGTTCGCGGAGCGACGAAGTTGACGAGCGCCGATACACCTTTGGTTCGACAGAGGTCAGACAAGTGCGTGAGGAGCAAGACCAGAGCAAGCCAAGAGCTCTGCACTTCTTTGTGTTTCTGGATTCGGAATGCCGAGCCTCTTCTTCATTGCATTCTAGAAGCATGTCCCCATGATGCTGACAGAGGTTCCGGCAACGTTTCTGGGAACTTGCAGGCAGGCGCTGGGGAGCCGGGGCGCAGAGCCCCCAAAAGGTTTTGGAGGGCTGCCCACGGTTGCCCCCGGTTCGGGAAGGCACAAAAAGACACCTTAGCTGCCACAGGCTCCAACATGGGCAACGTGATGGGCGTCAAGAAGTGGCTCAGCTGCAACAAGGTTTCTATGTCGCTGTTGAATCACGGCAGCTGTCTTCCATAAGGAAGACGGACACGGATAAGCAGGAGGACGACGTTTCAGACGATGAGTTTGACCACAAGGCTGGGAACAATGCTGGACATGGTAAATGTCAGGAAGTGGTTTCGATAGTCCCTTTTCTCGTATGTCACTTCATTGTAGATACACGCACATAGCGAAACCGCTGTGCCTTGCGTCGCGGCTGACAGGTGACCGTGTGAGAGAGAGAGAGGTAAATGTCAGGAAGCACGGGAAATGATGTCGCGCCGCAGGATGGAGCCCGGCAGTAGTCAACCGAAGTAATTACATGCTGTCTTCTTTCTTGCAGCTACCGTCGTGACGTCTCATACCCGATTCTTCTGGTAGGCGATGCTTTTAATGTTTTCGATTCCTGTTGCGTGAACTATTCTCACTGCTTCAGGCGGAGAGGGAACTGCTGGAATATACTTTGAAAAAATCAAAGGCAGCTATTCAACACGTCAGTTGCCTTCCTTGTCAGCTCAGGCCAGCAACCAGTACGGCCAAGCCTTGAAGAACCAAAAGACAGAGGATACATGACCGCATTAGCAGCATAAGCAGGACTGATAGTTGCTGTTTTCAGCGGGTTCTTACCAGCACCGACGACAACATTTTCCGAGACAAGGCTTAGATTTGATCCGAAACAGCACTCCATGTACCGAACTGAGGCCCAGTCGGAATTTGCGAAGACGCGGTCGATCCAGGAGCAGAGACGAAGCCTTCCTGCTGGCGGCCAAGCATGGTGAGTCCACAGCCCTCTTATGCAATGTTTGAGCCTCCTTCGTGTGAGTTTGGAAGCGACTCTCTGATACTTCTGGGAATCTCTGAGAAGGTATGAGAAGAACTTGATCGCTTGGGCTCAGGTCTTCAAGGTGCGGGAAGAGCTCATCGACCTGCTGCGTGAGCACAACGTCACTTGGCTCCTGAGACCCAAGGCGACTGTTGGAATCACGAAGCCGTCTCTCATGTCCCTGCAGGTCATGATTTGCGTCGGCGAGACTGGATCGGGAAAGACGACACAGCTCACTCAGCACCCGATGCTTGAGATTCATGCTAGGCCCAACTTAGAGGCTTGCTCCCATGCTCCGACTTCGAAGTGCATGCAGTGGAGAGCAGTTCTTCGAGACGTGGTGCAATCTACAGCAGCTTTCCGGCGGGCCGAAGCGAAAGCCAGGAGCAGCCCTTGCGATGAATCTCATGCGGGGTGCGTGAGGTACCTGCACGAAGCTGGCTACTCGGTGAACGGCCAAATCGGATGCACACAGCCTCGCCGTGTTGCAGCTGTGTCGGGAGCCCAGTCTTGCGCGGTTTGTGTGTCTTTGTTGTCAGCATGGCGGAATCGGGCCCCAACAGGTCCGTGGCGAAGCGCGTCGCGGACGAGATGGGCTGTGAACTGGGCTCAAAGGCACAAGTCATGAAGAGTCAATGAAGAGGGGCTTGATTGACTGGTTTTGAATATACAAGGAAGGCTGTGATATTCCTGCACTTCGGAGAACATGGCATGCAGATGCTCTCCCAGACCTGGTGCAACCCACCAAGATCTTCTGTAAGACCATTCAACCAGGCTTACAATGCGAACCGCTGTCTGCAATCCAACCCTGCAATGCGGGCTCGTCCTTGCTAGGTAGGAAGGAAGAACCCGAATTTGCTGTCTGCTTGCATTCTCAGCATGCAGGTGGGCTACTCCATTCGATTCGAGGACTCGCCCTCGACGTTCAGTCTCGCCATGTTACTTGCGTCGCCTGTCTTGAAGGCGATTGCCTGTGCAGGACTGCACCAGCGAGTCGACCATCATCAAGTCACTTGTCGATTTTGTGAGATCTGGGATGAATGGGTATGGGATGGTATGGGTCTTTGCAGCAGCACCGGTGCACCGCTTGGTTGAGTCCTGCGCCCGCTTCAAGGTACATGACCGATGGCGTGCTTCTGCGAGAAACCTTGTTTGAGCCGGACTTGGACAGATATTGTGTCAGGTCCTCAAAGGTTCAAATCTGATTGCCTCTTTCTGTTCATATGAAAGATCCCACGCAAGCTCTGGAACGGGCTTCGTCCCCGAACTGTAGGACTATAGCGAGAGTCCAACAGTAGGAGGGCTGGGGAGTGGCATCAAGCAAAGAAGTCAGGCGGTCATCATGGACGAAGCGCACGAGCGCTCGCTCAACACAGACGTCTTGTTTGGAGCTGGGAGCTTGTATTAAAAGCCGATTGCGATGAGGCTGTGACGAAGGAGAGCTAGTAGTAAGGCTGGTACTTGGCAAGCGATGCTTGCTCTGACGGTTACACCTATCGAGTGCGCGATCCATCGGCTGTTGCAGCACTCGCGCTGAGATCCTGCGGACTGTAGTTGGCCGCCGGCATGACTTCAAGCTGATCATCACGTCAGCCACCATGGACGCAGACAAATTCGCAGCGTGTCTTGGCGCCACAGCATAACGTCACTGCAGCATGGTTCTGGAACTATTCAGATCCTTTGATATCCGAGGTTCTTTGGCAACGTGCCAGTCTTTAACATCCCAGGCCGGCCCACCACTCACACAAGACGGGGTTTTGATGCTAGGCGGAACCATGTCGACGCAATCCGAAGCCAGTGTAGAATCTTATTCGGACGGTCGGCAATACATGCCTGATAAAGGCGAGTTCGGTGATGATGCATGCTGATGCACCCGGCATGTACACAACACGTATGATACAAGGACGCTGTTTCATTCTCCTGTTTTGCTTCACCAGTACGTTTCCAGATCGAGCATTTCGCGAGTTTCCAACGTCCATTTCCCGTGTCCATGAGTATCAGGACTTACCAGAGCAGGCAAGGCAAGCTAGTCATCGCAACGATTTCGCACAGAGGAGACAAAGATGCGAAGGTCGATCAGCAGTGGTCAGCCACAAACAGGACAAGAATCCATGCAAGACAGACATCGCATGTGCTCGACCACAAGGGCGACAATGGTCCTGAATGATCGCATCACCTGGGTAGCTCACGGTGCTCGCGATATCCCGCAACGCAAGACAAGTGGAACTGATTGTCTGCACCTTGGCCAGTGAGCCTTTTCGACTTTAGGCCAAGCAGCTAGAAGTAGCAGGTAGCAGATCTTTGCAGAGCCTCTGCCAGCTTCAAAAACACTGTAGCGGAAGTGGAAGAGATGTCATGTTGACACCGTTTTAGGGATACCAGTTCGACGAGACATAGTTTCGGGCCTTGCGGGGCATGCCGGAAGGGTTGGTTGGGATTATGGCAATGGCGACCGGACCGCGAGTCGCATGAGAGTTCCCAATCTCGAGGCTTACTCGTACATAGGCCCTTGCCATTTACAGCAATGCGTTCATTTGTGCTGATTCGCATTTTGGCCAAATCTTGATCCCTACTTACTGATGTGATCCGCCATCTCAACTACTGGTATTCTATGCTAGGCTTGCTTGTAGGGCTTCGGTTCGGGAGCGCGGTGCTCTGGAGGTCGAACGTTTCCTGTGCGGCTCCCGGTTTTCCGCGGCTGCGGATAATATACAGCATACTACATAACAGACTATATAATATATAATATATTAAAATATTAAAATATAATATACTACAATGGTGTTGCGAATCGGCTGTGCTCGACAGCTACTTGCTCAGGTGGATACCTTCTACGCGAGAAGTACAGCTCAGGCCTTGCAGAGGGCTTGGTGGAAGTAGGTCGGCTGGAGTGACTTTGGAGTCGATGTGGCGCTTCCTGGGCTTTGAATAGTGGGGAATCGAGACGTGCATGGGGCAGGACTATGTCGATGCCGCAGTGCAGCAGGCGATCGCAATCCATGTTGGCCGACGAACCCAGCTTTCGAAGGATGGTCGGAGTGCTGTGGAATGAGGGATGCAGGGATGCATGTTTAGTGCCAATGTGTAAACATGATGACGCGCACACCCGAGATATTTCATTTCAGCTCTCCCTCATCTCTCTTCTTGCAAGCCCGTTGCATCCTGCATGCAGCGTGTCTCCAGGTCAGGATCAGGGAGATGCCCGATCCCCAGCAAGCTCGGCCAGGGTCTGCGGGTCCGCCCATGTCATCACGGTTGGATCTCAAAGGTCCTGATCTTCATGACTGGGCAAGAGGACATTGAGGTGGAAAGCACCTGGAGAGTTCAGTGGCCAAGTCTCTCAGAAAAAGACACGCCTGCAGTCAGGCCACGTGCGTTTTGCTAGCGGACCGTATCTCACAGGCTCATTTTGCGGTTTCATTTTCCTGGCATTCTGCACTCTCAAGCTATGGATCGTTCGGCACTCGTGGACAGGTTGGTGAGAATGTGCCGCCCGTGTCCATTTTGCCGATCTACTCGCAGCTCCCCTCGGACTTGCAGGCCTCACTGGCTCACCAGGCCTGATTGCCGAAAGCACGCGTCCGCTTGTAATGCCGTGCAGGCCAAGATTTTCGAGAGCAGCGACAAACGAAAGATGATCGTGGTATCTTGCTTGCAACAGTTCTACCCAGCAGTTCTGTGCATACTCAGCCGCTATGGTAGGCCATGCTGTCTCTGTGAGGCCACAAACATCGCGGAGACGTCGCTCACGGTGGATGGCATCAAGTATGTGATCGATACAGGCGTGTCTGTGGGAGAGGGGCGGGCATTCAATGGCATGACGATCTGAGTTTGCAGATTTATTTTTGCGGTCTGCCATCGCGAAGGATGCCTGTTGTGGGCTTGCTTCCTGCTGCACTTCCGAAGTCATTTTTTGCATCGACCTGTACCTTACGCCCTCCCGGCCGTGCTCCCTCTTCCAGATGGCCGCCGTCGATGGCCGAGTCAAGGGTGGGGCGCTCGAATTGCAGGCAGAACTGGGCATGAAGCTGATGAAAGCCACGGAGGCCTCCGGTGCTGAGTACGACAGCGCCGCGGCCGAGGCTTATCAGAAAGAGGTTGAGACAAGGATCGCCAAGTTGGAGACCGAATCGAACCAGCTGACTGGCAAAGACAATAAAAAGGAGCGCTCGGCCAAGGGGAAGGAGATAGCCGAGCTGAAGAACGAACACAAGTACGTGGATGCCTGCAAGATTGTCAAGGGGCTTGAGCCAAAGTTCCTTGACTTTTCAGCAATAGTCCCTTTCTGGCAATTCTGTTGTGTATGTTGTTTGA